CTAGATGGTAAATATATAGTAAATGTCTGGTAAATATCTAGTAACTAGATGGTCACATTTATCATTTATAAAGCTCCTTTTAATTATGATTGTCAGGTTCTTGCTTGTTAGTTTTTTTAAAGCTGTTATGAAGTGATTCATGAAAGCTGCTAGAAGGTTTGTAAGGTTATTTTTTGTCCTAAAAGTTGTGGGAGGAAAAACTATGTGAAGAACTGAGTCTGAGCGCAATCTCCATGATTAGGAGAACGTTACATGTTAGACTGGAACCATATATTTCTGAAAGGAAAAAGCTAGTAGATTTTGCCATCCACATCCAAAAGCTTTTCTAGCCAAACTTTGGCCTCTTGGTAATAGAGGGAATTGGTTATTGAGTCAGAAAATTGAATTTGGACGATTTTAACATAGGAATGTAAGATGGCCAAAACTTAGGATGAGGAACAATACCTGAAAGGTTCTGATGTGGTGGTGGTCGAATTTTCTTTGCCTCCCTCCTTCATGCACGTACATGTCCATGTGTGCATCAATGTGAACTTAATACTTATAATGTATGTATGCTTGTTGCTGACTTTATAGGTTTTTTAAGTACTACTACTGTTAATTGCACTCGACTGTTGTGTTTTGACAAAATCAACACTAAATCCCTTATGTTAGTAGGGCTGCATGTAGATCCTTCAGTAGCAATCTAAAAATAGAGTTAATAGACTTGCAAAATCATAATAGCTACCTTTTAGGACTAAAATGCAGGTACATTAACATATTATAGTGGTGTCTGAGGTTCTTGCAGAAAATTCTCAAGGTACATGATCATTGGAGATTGGTTATGCACATCAGAAATTATGTTGCCATAACATATCCATATTGTATGAAAACATTGCCTTCATACTGAACATCTAAAGCAAATATGAAGGGCTGGGATATGAATTTGAGTATTTAGCTCTGATGAGTGTGAGAAAGAGAATTTTAGGACTAGCGTTTTCTCAGATCTTCCCCTAACTTTTTTTTGTTTATATCTCTTGGTTAATTTGCATAAATATACTGCTAAAAGCTTGTCATAGATGACTTGAGATGTTATTTTTGTTTAACAATTCTGTGGCTGCCTTGTGTTAAAATTTAATTTGCTTGATTATCTTTTCATCTGACTTGTTTTGGTGGAAATCTTTGTGCTCTTAACCATTCTAGTTTGCCTTGTAGGTCCTCTTTCAAAATGATTCTCCTGCAACTTTACTTGCTCGAGTTATTGGGATTATCGGATCCATTGAACAGGAGATGCTTGCCAAAGGACGAGATACGTACAAATACTTTACAAAAAATCACATGCTTTATGAGCGGAATCAGGTAGTACCTCACATTCAACCCCTCACCACATCTTCACTTGTATGTAGAGTATACTGGACCAATAATATGTTGGTGCTTTGGATACTGCACCCTCCTCCCCCCCAACCTCCCCAACAAAAAAAGAAAAAAATGAAATGAAAATGTAGAAAAGCAATTTATCAGAAGTGGTAACTTTTCCTTTTCGATGTTTATTTCAACGGTTTTGACGGACATGGGATTACACTTACAATTTATATTTACACTTCCCCTTTCAGAATTCTTCTTCCTTCTTGTAGTGAGTCCATGATATTCATCTCACGTTTAATTTTCCTTTTGCATAATCAAGATCAAATTTGGCTACAACTTTGATGGTATTTTTTACCTGGTTTTGTCCACGTCCTTTATTTAAAAAGAAGTTATTATGAATGATCAGGTTTATGATAACTTTTATATGGTGCAACCCCTATTGCTTCTATGGGACAGGAAGTTCATGATAACTATTCAAGTACATTGCGTTTGAAGTTTTATTTGCATATTTATTATTAACTAACTGCGGCAGGCCTTGAACACGTGATAGACCAATGTAACTGATTGTTTTTCTTTACAGCTTGAAGAGTGATATAAAATTATGAAGATTTTAGATTGAAATCTCATGATTATGAATAATCTTGGTCCTGTATCCAATTGTTTTCTCCTTAAAATGGAGAGAGCTCTTTTTTGGGTGGTTATTAGTGGAACTCTCTGATGTCGTAGATCCTGGTAGCAGGTTAGAAAAAGCATGCGTAGTGATGTCGATTTTTTTTTCTTTCTATTTGGTATCCTTTTTTAAGATATGAAGCTGTATCATCTTTTATTCTTTTCAAGTCCTATACGAGCATGCATGCCACAGCAGGTCCATTTTTTCCCCCCTTCACTCATTCAAATTGCATACTTTTTTCAGGAGACCAACAGACTTGAATACTTGATTCCGAAAAAGACATCCTTAAGGCATCGGTTACCAATGGGGGATCAAGGTTTTATTGACTTCGTAGCTCATCTGCTTGAAATAAACCCAAAGAAGCGCCCTTCAGCCGCAGAGGCTCTAAAACACCCATGGCTATCATACCCTTATGAACCAATATCATCTTGAACAAATTGGAAATCATTCGTTGGCCCAATCTAATCTGATGAAGCTGTCCGTTCATCTTCTCAGTTTATGTGCTGTGCTGTAATGACACGGCCATTAAATTCGGGATGGATGGGGGGGTCTGTTCCGCGTGCTTGCACACAATCGAAAGGTGCGAAGAGGTAGTATCTGGTTTTTCCTTCCCCGGTGTTGAGTTGTATTTGATTTATCTCAACCGAGAATGTAAGATTGGACAGGCCATATGTAACTCTAGGTTTTGTTTTTCTTATTGATCTTGCTTGGTGGAAGGGAACCCTTCAATCTTGTTGTACATGATGTGTGATAATTTTTTAGGCTATCTAGTAAGTAAAAGCTTGTGCAATACCTTGCTCTGGCTTTATCCAATTTTGGTTGGCTTATAGTATAACTTGTTGGCTGGTCTTTATTATTAGAATGAAAGCAGCCTCGGCAAAACTGTCTCCTGACTTTCACTCGGAGTGTGTTTTGGTCGTTTTCAGGTGAATCGGAATTTCAATGGCCCTAAGCCCTCCCCCTCCGAACACTTTTCTTTCGCAGGCACTTCCTCCGAATTACAGAGGTGGACGGACATTAGCTTAGCTGCATTAGGTGGCTTGAGTTTGGAGTGTGTCGGAATCATGGAAGGTAAAAATAAGCATGCATGATTATCTGGATATCTATACGGTATATAACCAGTGTCTTTTTTTTTTTTTTTTTTTTGAAATTTCTAATATATCCTCAATTACGAGGCCAAATTTGTTTTCGTATATGATTATCTGTATTATAATGAATGAAATTTCACCCATAAAATCCATTAAAAAAAATACTTGTTAAAGAGATAATTGTGCAGACGCGTTAGAGTATGCCTTGAACCCTAGCAGGTGCTAGCGCAGCTGCAGCATATAATGCGAAGTCGAAACTGTTGCAGCAAAGTTGATGCCAACTTTTGCAGCAAAGTTGATGCCAAAATGAAATATAGCACCAAATAAACATGCCCCGAGCAAACATCATGAGAGTAATTGGTTTGAGCCGCCACCACCAGGCAACTGCAAGCTGGGTGGGGTATGGGGGACGGCCGAAAGACCAAGTGAGTGAATGCGGAAGTAGGAAGAAAGGGAAAAAAAAAAGTTGAATTTGCAATGGACCACAAAATTAATGGCCTTAGTGATTGGCAATGGACCACAAAATTGGGGGTGGTGGGGGCTTTTCCTTTCATTCTTCTGTTTGGTTGTTTTCTTGTTTCTTCTTTTTTTTTTTATGTCAATTTTTGCCGGACTAATCTTCACTGCGACTGCACAGAACCTGTCCTAAGAATACACAACAACGTCACCTCGAGAGTCGAACCCTGGCCAACACGCCCTAACTAGGACGGTGCTGACCATCGACTACTCGAGGGATGAAGCAATTTCTCTTTTTTTATTTCTTGTTTTTCTTTTTCTTTTCACTTTTTCATTGTAAAAAAAAAAAAAAAAAAGGATGGAGCAGTAGTATTTTAGACCTTTTCTTCTTCGTATTTGATCGACTTGAACGGTTTCGTTGCAGCCTGAAAATTACTAACCTCTTAACAGTCAAGTGGTTGGATTGGACCAACCTCAAGATGGATTAGTAACCCTTAATGGTATCTTGCCATACTCATAATAAGAGAAGAAATCACCTTTGTGACCTTTTAAGTAAATGAATGAATAAATAACAAGATCTATTCATACATTAAAAAAAAAAAAAATGCCCACATTAGCAACAGGTTTTATTTTGATATTTATATCACTACGTGAATTATCTATCATTAAGCTATTATTACAAGGCTTTAGAAATAAGATCAACAAAAGAACCTAATGTTAGGGAGGAGTGTAAAATGGGGAGTTCAACAAATTGTACCCTCAATTTCTAACAATCGAATTCCCAGCAAAAACTAATTAAATTGACAAAAGAAAACAGATAAGGGCCACAGGTGGGGAAGCCACAGTCCGGCAGCACCGGCACTGCCCCGTCCAAAGTCTAAACCAGTAGTATAATAATAGCTTCAGGCACGGAAGGAAGGGTAGACGACCCCATCAAATCTTTTTAAGTATTCAAGAAATCTCTTCGTCATGGAGGTGGCAAACTGTGATAGGCCTTTTTCTCACCGCAAATTGGTCCTCAGCCACAAAATTGATTGCTGTTATCTTCTTCTCGGTTGTACTAACAGCATCTATCATCGGACTACAAGACTAGTAGTAGTAGTTTATTCTTGTTTACTTTTCAGTTACCTAATTTTTCTAGTCTTATGTGCAAATATCTACCTCCTCTGCTTGGAAAAATGTATATAAAAATCTTGGAGGTTTGTTGTGACTTGTGAGGAGATGATTATTCAGTTGGTCGTCTCTTCTCTTCCACGCAGTAATCATAATGGTAATGATGATAGAGAGCCTAATAAATTACTGTAGTCAAGCATATAAAAAAGATAAACAAATGTAATCAGACTCAAATTTGGAACCTGGAATAGAAATATAGAATGCAGCCACGCATATGCCTTGTTTTACTTTTCGTCTGTGGCCATCACAGTAGCTATCATGTCGTCGCACGCCAATGCGCGTTTGGACAGCGGACTTTCCAGCCCCATCCAGTAATATATATAGGATGCCACACACAATTTCCAAACTACACATCATCTTCCAGCTCGAAGCACAAATCTAACGCCAATTTCTTTCTCCGTTCCTGGCTAATCCTGCAATATTCCTTGGATTATCAATGACAAAGGTATTCCCAAATGCAACTTCCTTCAAGGAGGTTGATCAGCCAAACCAACCATTGGCTATTGATCATGGTGGGAACTTGGATGGGGGGCCAGTGGTTTTGACTGTTTGGAAGAAATCCTTGCTGTTTAATTGCGATGGTTTTACTGTGTTTGATGCCGAGGGAAATTTGGTCTTTCGGGTGGACAATTACATGTCCGGTGCTAAAGGAGAGATCGTTCTTATGGACGCGTCTGGCAAGTCTCTGCTAACCATCCGTCGCAAGGTACTATATATCTATATATATATATATAGCGTCTCCTTACTGTTTTTGGTTCTGCTAACGTTGTTGTATGTCAAACTTGCTAGTAGTAGTATTTGTTCTGGATCAAGAAGTCACACGTCTTGATTCATTTAAATTTTGGAAATCTTGAAATATTATGTGGTGGAGACGTCGTTTAATTTACTGCATCCAAACTCACCAGTATAATTCGATCTCAAGATTAACCCATATAATCTGCTGTAATTAATCCAATGGTTTTGCACGATTAATGTGGATGCAGAGACTGAGTATTGCGGATAATTGGTTAGTGTTCGCGGGCGAGGAAGCGGTTAATCCCCGGTTTTCCGTGAGGAAGCAAGTGAATTTCTTGAATTCGAGGTCACTAGCCCAAGTGAGCTGCCTCTCCTGCTGTGACAGTGGATCACCGTCATCGCCCTGCTCCTCCTCTTCTCCTAAGAAGAAGTTGGTGTACGAGATTGAAGGCTCTTACAAGCAACGGTGTTGTGCGGTGTATGATGACAAACGGAGGCGAGTGGCGGAGATCAAGCGGAAGGAAGCCGTCGGAGGGCTGGTCTTCGGGCTGGATGTGTTTCGGCTTATAGTACTACACGAGCCTGGCAGCAGAATTGAGTCGGCCGTGGCTATGGCCCTTGTTATCGTCCTGGAGCAGATGTTTGGATCTTCCTCCTACAGTCCAAGAGCCCTCCATTGATCATTGTTCAGTCGTCGCTGCAGCAGAATACAGGACAGCAACTACATACAACCTTGGCTGAGTTCGATGGATCGATCGAAAGGATTCAAGAATTGGAATATTGTTAAATGCTGCATGTGCATTACTTGGATCTTTGCTTCAACAACAGCGCTAGATTAGAGTTGCCTCATGTGATAGATGCTCATCTAGGAAAGACCATTCATACATATATTGCATATCCCCTAGTATGTATGTATATGTGGACGGGAGCTGGTTTTTTCGTTTTATATAAAAGAAGACTAAGCTCTCGAGAGGGGAATGTATACTTATCATTTATCAAAGTCATGTAATTAGAATGAGAAATCCGAGACAGCGAAATAATAAATGAAGTTCAAAGGAAGGGTTTTGCTTACTGCTCAATTAACTCGTCCATTTGTTAAGGTTGTGTTTGGATTGCATTTTTCGTCATTTTTTATAAAAAAATTACTGTAACGATTTGATATATGTGAGGGAAAAAGGTGATAGGAAAATGTGATCACGGAAAATGACAATTTTCCGACGGAAACAAGCAATCCAAACAAGGCTAAAATTGTTCCAATTTTCACTATTTAACAAGTTTGTTGCTTATTAGCAATAATAATGTGCAGCATAATATCATGATCCCATCCAAATGAGTACTGTTTTTAGTATCTATCACGTACGCACGAGATTTTTGACTTTGTGCTTCAATGTTTTTGTGTCCAATTAATGCTAATTCACCACTAATAACAAAACACCTATCACGTCATTCTTTAATTAATTAACACTCAATTACGTGGGCACTCCAAAGGTCAAAATAATGCGGCCGCTAATGGTTGGTTACTTGCTGCTTCTTGCTTGGATTGACGGTAAGTTTGAGTTAAGATGAAATTGATTATAATTTCAAAAGCTATGACGACATGTCTAGATTTGCGTCATCTATCTCAAAATTATCTCTTTGTATAGAGTCCCGTTTGGCAAGTGAATTTTTTTGGATGTTTATCTAAAACTTTACTGTAAATTATTACCGTAGTAATTTTAAAAAAAAAAATTTTGAAGTGCGCAAAATTTTGAATATTTTGAGGTGTATAGTTTAAAAATTTTTAGAAGTTTTTTGAGGTTGCTGTACTACTTCCTATTACTCCCTCCGTCCTACTTTAATAGTCATATTTTCCTTTTTCGTTTGTCCTAAATTGTAGTCCAGTTTCCAATTGAAGAATGTAGTTGTATTTTAATTTTCCTAAAATACCCTTATTCAATGTAAGTGGTTGTTACTATAAACCTACCCAATTTAATGAGAGTTGATTCTTTTTTTTTTACCATCAATTCAAGTTTCCATAAAATTATACTCTAATTAATGTGAGGGTATTTTAAGAAAATAGCTACCTAAATTGATTGTTCCAACAAAGTTAATTATTTTTTCTTAAACTGTGTGAAAAAACAATCAGAACTATCAAAGTAGGACGGAGGGAGTAGCAGACAAATTTGACAAAAAACTTACCTGCCAAACAAGGCCCTAGTTTGCTGTACTACTTCCTGTTAGTTTGACTTTGCTAACTTACAACAAGTTGAAAAATAATTTGTCTAGATTGCTATTTTTTTTTTTATAGAAAAATTTTCACATTTTTCATGAATATATTTTTCAAAAATTTTTTTTTACGTTACAGACATCAAATTGTTATAATTAATTTTTCTACAAAGACTCTTGAAAACAGCAATCCAAACAGGCTAGATTTCATAAGAAGGTTTCCTCTCGTCTACTTCTAGATCTTTCTGATTTCTAATATTCAATAAGTTTGTTGTCCATACGTAATGATAATGCATTCTGACCAATCCAATTAAATATGACGCAAGATTTTTGTCTTCACGCTTTGATGTTACTGTTCCAGTTGTAATTCACCACTAATCCACAATTGGTTGTTACGTCATATTTCAATCAACTTAATTATGTCAATGCTTCTATGCCAAAATAATAACCAATCACCGTCAACTGCTACTCGTTAATTATTTTGATATTTTTATTTAACAAAAATATTTAGTCTGATAAATTTGGGAAAATAATTAAGTCAAATACGTCACCAAACCAAAAGCAGGAAAACAAAAATACACTAGCATTAATAACGATAACCGCTAAATACGCAAACTCTGAGGAGTTAAATGCAATTATGATAAAATTCCCAAACGGTGCTGTTTTATTAGCAGTTGCTGTCCTTCTGCGGTCTAGATGAAACAGAGCTGAGCTAAGACATGGAAAGGGGAGGCGCCGGAACCACCGTTCCCGAAACGACGTCGCTGTTCCCCGTTCGTCCTCAATCCTCCACCGGCGACGAGGATAATGCTCCGGAATGGCTTCGGAACACCAGCTTCACCACCGACCTCACCCTCATAAACGACGCCGTATCCACCCACTATCAGCAGTCTCAACTCGAAGAATTATCGTCGGAGGAAGACGAAGAAAGGGCAGAGAAAAGTAAAGAAAAATTGCCGCGTCCACAGTATGAGTTGATAGATTCGTCCGCTTCGGGTCGTGGCTCATACAGTGATGACGAAGAAATGAAAGAGAAGAGGAGAAATCGGAAGAGGAAGAAGAAGAAGAGGAGAAGAAGGGAATTATCTAGTAATGCAGCCTCATTGCATGAATACGGACTCGCATCCTCTTCTTCTTCTTCTCGAAAAGCTGATATTCGAGCTTGGGCTTCTTCTACTTCAGATACTACTGGTAGTACTAAAGAGTATTACTTTGATTCTAAGGGCGACCGCGATAATTTGGCCTTCGGTTGTATTTACAGGTATTTGCAGAAATAATTAGTTAAATTCTACTCTGCTTAAATTCGTGACAAGATTTTGGACAATTTGGATACCTTTTAGTGTTTGGGAATTTAGAAAATCAAGATTGTTAAGCTGTTCCTATAGATGAATCAAAAGTAAATTTTATTATGGGAATAGTGATACATTGTCTCTGGATTATCGGAGTAGAGACAGAAGGTAGCAAATTTAAGGAGTTTGTAGAAACTGCTCTTTAGTTTTCAGTTTATTATGTAAACAAAGTTTAAGACTTTTCATGTTAATTGATTGAAACGGGTAGTTGCTTGGCGTTTTTTTTCAGTTATCGGCATATGCCATAGGCATTTGTATGAAAGAAGCAACTCTTGATTTGTTGACCTACATTAGTTCCTGTAGTTTGTAATTTATGTACTTCTTTTGTCCATTTTACGTGATACAGTTAGCCATTCTCAGAAGTCAGTTACTTTTGGAACTGATGTAAGAGTTTGGTTTTTAAAATTTTGCAAGCTGTAAAATGATTGATTTCCAATTTTTCATCCTAAACTTGCTAGCTTTGGTGCCCTTTTTCTTTCACTGGAATCAGGAATCAATCAACTCCATCAACAACTTTCACCATGTAAATGTATCCAAATTGGATAAAATGGGGATGGAGGCAATGACCAACTGCATATTATGGGTTACTTCTCATTGTAATACTATACGCTATATGCAGGATGGATGTGGCTCGCTACAAGCTCAAAAATTCAAGAAAATTTTCTGATCTTAGCTTCTATAGACGGAGCCGGAAGAGCTCAGTCTTGGATGGAGATGATGATATTGATGGACTGGATGGTAAACTTAGATTGGAGGGTCGTTATTGGTCAGCAATGTTTGCTGCACTAGAGCGGCATAAGAACTTGAAGCGAATTAGGGTTCTTGCTCCTCAAAAGATCGTTCCAACTGTAGCTGCTGAATTCATCCCTTTATCGGATGATGGGGGTCCCAATTTCAGATCTTCAGGGGATAAAGTAGTTGAGGAGTCATGGGAAGATGAGGTTTATCGTAAAACCAAGGAGTTTAACAAGTTGACAAGAGAAAAGCCGCATGATGAGAAAGCTTGGTTAGCTTTTGCTGATTTTCAAGACAAGGTGGCCAGGATGCAGCCACAGAAGGGTGCTCGTCTGCAGACTCTTGAAAAGAAGATCAGTATACTGGAGAAGGCAACAGAACTAAATCCAGATAACGAAGATTTAGTTCTTTCTCTTATGAAAGCTTATCAGAGTAGGGATAGCACTGATGTTCTGATTGGTAGATGGGAGAAGATACTTGTGCAGAATTCTGGGAGTCACAGGTTATGGAAGGAGTTTTTGCAGGTTATTCAGGGTGAATTCTCTAGATTTAAGATATCTGAGATGAGGAAAATGTATACCAATGCAGTCCAAGCTCTATCTGGTGCATGTAGCAAGCAGTATAGGCAGGTTCTCCCTCTCACGTAACTCCTGATACTGAATTTTAATTTTGACATTTGGTCGAACTTTCACGGGATTTATCCCATACCTAAACACCTTTGGAATGTGAGATTAGCTATTAATATGTAGCAGAGGATAATTTGTTCAATTTTCTCTTCTTGGCCTTTCTCTAACTGACCTCATAGTTAAATTCCCCCCCCCCCCTTCCTTCTGGTTTTTCATTCTGCTTTGAATAAATTGTGTGTAGTTGAACCCTTAATGAGTTGATTATGTTCACTGCAGGTTCAACGACATACTACTGGACCTTCTTCTGATCCAGAACTTGTTCGTCTAGAACTTGGTTTAGTTGATATATTTCTTAGCCTTTGCCATTTTGAATGGCAGGCTGGGTACCATGAGTTGGCTACTGCTTTATTTCAGGCAGAGATTGAATATACTTTGTTTTGTCCATCTTTACTTCTTAGTGAGCAAAGTAAGCGAAGACTTTTCGAGCATTTTTGGAACAGTAATGGTGCTAGAGTTGGGGAAGATGGTGCTCTAGGCTGGTCAACATGGCTGGGAAAAGAGGAAGAACAGAGGCAGAAGATTGTTAACGAGGAGCTATCTCATAAAGCTGAAGAGGGTGGTTGGACAGGTTGGTCAGATCCGCCGTCTAAAACCAAGGATATGATGGAAGCTCTGGAAAATGATAGAGTTAGTGACATGGCTATTGAGGAATCTGGTGATGTCTCTGATGCAAGAGATGATGAGCAGGATGATGATACTGAAGTTTTGTTGAAAAAGCTTGGCATTGATGCTTCTGCTGATGCAAATAATGAGATCAAAGACACTAAGACATGGACTAAGTGGTCAGAAGAAGAGTTGGCAAGGGACTCTGATCAGTGGATGCCTGTTCGCACAAGATCTGGTTGAACAATCTTTCTTTAATATGTGTGTGTGTGTATTTGTTTTTCCTTTTAATGTGAATTTCTTGGTGTTTTATTTTTTGATATCCACAAGACCCTAAATTATGGGGCATGGGCAAGAGTTTCACTTGCTTTTTCTTTCGTATTATACTGGACACTTGATTTTTGGGAAACAATAAAAGATATTGAAGGAATAATATATTGGAATAGACTAAGAATGGTGGACTTGTAGAATCTCTCTTTTATAATCATTAGAGAGTCCTTT